GCCACTATTAAAATAGCATTTATAGTTTTCAAAATAATCGGGGTTGGCAAATATGCCCCAGGAACTACACTACTGCGATTTTAATATCGAATGGATTATTACATGATTTCACAAAAGCCCTCACACATATATTGCAGGTGCATACCATTCCTTTGGCATTGTCCAGTTCTATATCCTATTTTCAATATTTGGAAATTTGTTACAATTTTCATTTGATAAAAATAAAGGCTCAACTGACATTTGCTCTTTTTCATTTTACTTTATATATATTAAAAAAGTATATAATGCACAGATTTTTCGTATAAAAATGTCTGGCACCTTTAGTCGGTTCTGCTCCAACGTCATTTTGTTATTTAGCTTAACAAAGGACAATTCAAAGAACAACATTTTATTTTATGCCTACATAATTCTGATGAACTGGATTCAATTGATGTTCATAATCGTAAAAAACAAACGAAATTCAATGGAGTGGAACCCAGCGGGAGGGGATATCAGGCAGGCAGCCAGGCGAAGGAAGCCTTTCTGTGGTAATGGCATAAAAATTATGTTACAAATTTACGACCGTATTGGAAAAAAACAAGCAAGCATTGAACCTCAATCAGAAATTGTATCTCAAATTACAGCAGCGGAAAAATGACTTGAAGTTAAAGAGAGTGAGAGGGATGGAAAGAGCGCGGGGGGAGTTTCCCCCCAAAGATATAAACTTAAATAAATCGAGTGGTTTTGCTACACAATTATTATAAACGATATCAAGGTTGGATAAAATCATTTGCGGCTCCAATGCCCATAACGTTGTTTCATGACCCAATATTGATACAATTTTTTTGACATCATTTTCATGATGCTCTCTTTTTTTGGTATTTAACTATGGGGATAGACATAAATGACAGGTAAGACAAGTTCACAGGTTACCACTTCGCCGTGGAATGTCATAAAATGTGAGACCATGTGCTTTTCGAGGCTTGAATATTATACACCCCCTACCCCTCTAGCCATTACGCACAACAACAACGAATGAATAACTTATAAATTAACCATAAATTTCCAATGAATTTTATATTCGAATTCTTCCTTTGTTATCGCCATTCTAGCCCCGTACCGTTGGCATATTCCTTCTTGAGACTAGACAAAAATATTTTGACGTTCCATTTACCGGCTGAAGTGTTTTGTAAATATTTAAAGGTAAACTTTTTTACGACGCTTGAACTTGAAAGAAAAGGTTACGGCTGTGGCAGTGTTGATATTGAAATTATTATCCAATAAATATATATTTTTGTTGTATTGATGTTTTCCACTTGGGACCACATTAAAGTTTCGTTACGTGTGTGTTCATAATAGATTAGATTATATGAAGGTTGAGAAGACATGATTAAAAGGGGGAAAGGTCCAATTTAATGACCTTTTGATGTTATAGGGGAAACATATACGTAAAATAAGTGAAAATAACATTTCTTTGGTTATTTACTCCGACTTATGAAAAAATAAAATGTTTTGAGGAACAATAATGAGAGAATGGTAGATACCTCATCGGCAAAGCTTGGCTAGAACTATTAAAACATTTCGAACCATGTATAGGCATTTTTCGAACCCTGTACTTTTATTTGCATTACGATTCGCTTAGAAATTGTGACTGACTTTAAAGTACCTTAAATCGAGCGATACATCTATATGGAGGCTATTATAAATTATCTTGTGAGAATTGGAATCGATAAGTTTTGGGGGAGTAGCCAGATAAAGTGAACCGATATATTCCATCTTCACAGCTGATCTTGTGTTAGTAGAAATAATGGGATGTGTGAAATAGGAAGAGAACCGAATGCTTATTTCGGATTATATGATTGATTTGGTTATTCAAAACTTTGATCCTTTATGGGGAGGTACCAGAAGGAGTTCGCAGATAAATATCATCTTCACAACAAATCTTGTGTTAGCAAAAATGATATTTGATATTTTTGAAATTTGGAGAGAGTTGCATGTTTATTTCGTTTTCTTTGAGCCTTTCGATTTTCAAAATCTTGAACCCTATGTGTGGGAGATATTAGATATAGTGGACCGATATATTTATATTATATTCCATCCTCACACCAGACCTTGGGTTTATAAAAATATTGTGATGTGTGTCATTTGAAGACAATCGGACTCTTACATCACATTTTATAAGAGTTATAACTATTCAAAGTTTTAACCATTTGTGGTGGAGGTAACAGAAAGAGTAGTCCGAACTCTACCATCTTCATAACATATATTTTGTTGATAGAAGTATTGAGATGTACAAACTCTGAATGGAATGGGATGTTATTTTCGCGTTTTATGAGCTTCATGGATATTTTAAATGTTAAGCCTTTTGTGGGGGAGGTACCAGAAGGAGTAGACTGATATATTCCATCTTCATACCAGACCTTGGGTTAACAAAAAATATTGTGATGTGTGTAATTTGGAGACCACCCGTTTTTTACAACACTTTTATAAGAGTTAAAATTATTCAAAATTTTTACGCTTTGTGGGGTACTTGATGGAGAGGACCGATATTCGCACCTTACCTAGCATTGAAGCAAAAATTAGGATTTGCAATGTTGGATCAAAATCGGAATATCCTTAATCTTTCTGTGCAGTAAAATTAATTTTTGAAAATTTCGTGGGGGATTAACCAGAAGGAGTGGAGCGATATTACCTATTTCCGAACTTGGTCTAAGTTTGATAACTACAGGGTGAGATAAAGCAAGTAAAAAAGCAGTAGGTTCGGCCGGGCCAAACTTTGAATACACTTCACCATTTGGAACGAATTAGAACATTTTCAAAAAATAAAATCTCTTAAAAATTCTGTTAAAATCTCGGAAGGTGCCAATATATGGGGGAATTGAGGACTATTCCGTTAAAAAATGTGGCGAAATTCATCAAAATACCGAATATCGGGTTGTACCGTTATATGGGGGATATACGATATCATGGAGCTATATAGAGAACTCCCTGTCAGGGGGTAAAGTGTTCACAAAGAACCCCTTGTGTAGAATTTCAGACAATTCCGTTGAAAAATGTGGCTAAAATCATCGAAATACTGGGGGTACTGTTACTGGGGGTACTGTTACTATCGGGTGGACTAAATGATATCGTGGACCTATATAGATAATTCTCTTTCAATGAATAAAGTACTCACCATGAACTCGTTGTGCGGATTTTCAGACCATTCCATTGGAAAATGTGGATAATATCATCAAAATCCCGAATATCGGGGGATACCGTTATATGGGTTTATGCAATATTTTGGACCTATATAGACAATTCCCTTTCAGTGGGTAAAGTGCTCAAAGACAATTCCAAAAATACCGAGTATCGGGAGGTACCGTTATATGGGGGCTATACGATATCTTGGACCGATATAGCCCATCTTCGAACTTGAAATGCCTGCAGACAAAAGAGAGATCTGGGCAAAATTTTAGCTTTCTATCTTAATTCGTTTAGCCTGTTGTCTAAAATGATTATTTCGATGAGTTACAAACGGAATGACGAACTTAATATACCCTCCATACTATGTATGGTGGAGGGTATAAAAATTGAACTGTGCAGAAGAGGAAGGTGACTGTGGAGACTTGAACATGCACCAACGTGGCCAGATATCTCTAGAGAGGCGAAGTATTGACGAGTTATTGATACGAATAGTAGTTTTGCTAAGCTGCATTAAACTGCCGAAGGAACGTTGTGAACCAGATCACTACATAAGGTGAAATGATGAAGATGAACTTCTTTATTTAGTTCCTTTTTAAAGCACCAAGATGTCAACGAGTCAAATTGATTGTTTGAAGCTGTAAAAGTCGGGTGGGGTCGTGTTTTATGATATTAAACGCTACTATGCATATTTAGCATTTCTTCTAAATCTGGAAAAGAGGTTTCTAGGCAGTTATTGATATATTGTAAAAAATATCTTTTCAATTTTTGGATTAACAGGCATTTGTACATCGACCATGTAACTATCTCAAAATTTCAGAGAAAATTTGAGCGACAGATTTAATCGTAATTTATTTTTTTTACATTGTGTAGAGTATAAAAGGCTAGGTTGATTTTAATGCTATTTTTACTTATTTTCACTTTAACTGCACAGGGATAATCATAATTGAAATGAAATTTTTGGAAAGGTAGCTTTTCCTGATACTAACTAATACTAAAATAACTAAAATTAATAAATAATTCAAGTTTGATAAGAACCTTTTAAAATTTCCTATTTTTTTTATTAAATTATTGGAGTTTAGTTCTACCAATTCTGGGAAATTAAAAAAAAAAACCATTAAATAGTTTATTTTATTCTTAGCCATCAAACAAGACGGGAAAATAACCCACCGTTATCCAATAATACCCCAATATTTAACAGGATTCGAAAACCCGAATTTCCTTCAAATATTTAAATTCAATTAGCAATATTGAAGAAAAGGAGAAAAACAAACGTTAACCTTCTCAACTTTACAAATTACAATTGGATGTTGCCACCCAATTGCCATATTTCGTCCTTTGTGGTCCTTGGTGGTAAATACCTTCGATTTGATGCTCATATAGAATTCCATTCGGTACATGACATGTTAAAGGCGCATAAATACAACCCTCATTATGCCAATTAGGATGAACGCAAAGAATGAAAAAAAAAAAAACAGGGTATGGAATGGGCAAATTGAATCTTGTTGTTGCCATTATTCGAACACCATGGATATGAAGGAAGCCATTCTCTGTTCGATGGTACAAATAGAAATAACAGAACCCAATAATCGGCTCCACACACAAAAACCCAGCCACACTCCTGGCGAGGATTTAAATGAATACAATATTTATAGGATTTGATGGTATTTCGGTAGCAGAAGCAAAGAGCGCGCATGTGTGTGTGTAAGTGTGATTTTCTAAAGAAGCCCATAAATACTTTCACACGCTTACAAACACACACACGCACGCATGTTAAATTTCCATCGGATGAATGGTTGGATGGCTAGTCCATCTTATATGGTAATTGGATACTTTACCTCTTCGGTATTATTTAAATTGGTGTTGGTGTTGGCAGTAGCTGCTACAGGCGCTGATGATGTCGCTACGACAGCATGACTATGGCTGTGAATGTGGGTGGCGGCGGCGGCGGTGATGTGGCTGCCTGCAGCATTGGTCACCTCAATGCCGGCACGACTTTTACTATCCACATTGCTGCTGCTGAACTCAGTGTCCTCCACTTCGACCGTGTTGACAGTATTTGTTGAGTTGCCTTCGACCAAACCCAGTGTTGTGGTTCGACCCATGGCCATGTTGGTCTTTACATTTGTGAACTTGCCAAAACGTAACCTGAGACGTTTACGTTTCTTCTGGGCCATCAAATCAGGCTAAAAAGAAAGAAATGTTGAAAATAAAGGCGATTAGCTTACAATACAATGACAGATACAGACACACACACATACTGTAACAGGAATAAAGGACATAAATAACAAACAAATAACAAATATTGGTACGTTGGCTGGTGTTTGCACAGGGCAAGGATGAATGATGAAATAAAAAAAGAAGAACCAAGAATCAAGTAACCAAAAGCCAGAGAAATCATGAAAATCGGGTTTCCATTGCAGAAACCACAAATTGAAGGCCATAAATGACTGAACAAAAAGACCGTCCACCGACCAAGCGACCTTCCGACCTTCCGACCTTCCCACTGACCGCATGGCAAACGGACATAGCAGTTTAGTGGAATAGTTCTTGATTGAATCCTAAATGGGTTATTGAACATGCAGGAAACTTTTTTTCTTTTATTTTGGAAATTCAAATGGTAAGAAATGCTATTCATGGAAAAATAATCTGTTCTTAAGTGGTAAGAAAAGGAAGGAGAGATTATTTAACTAACACCATAGTAAAACACCCAATTGATGGGAAGTTCCGAATGAAAGTCAGTCGAGTAAAACCCCAAAATGGTTTGAGTCTTAACCAAAGACGAAGAGTTTTGAGTATTAAGCACTTGGTCTCGCAATATTTAGATACAGCTCTGAAATTGAAAATTCTGGGAACTAAAAAAAGGTATAGGAAATTTTATAAAAACAGGTTAAATAGTATCAATCTGTTTTGTCGTCAGATATACATCCTCAGCCAAATTTCGTTTATTTGAATATACAAGGTGAGATGAAAAAAACTGCAACCAACTTCAGACTGCTGTCATTTCTAAGCCACTCAACCGACAGCTGTTAAAATTATTCCATTGAAGAAGCGACTTGACCGGAAAATGGCTCGTGGGCTGAACATATCGCAATATTCCATTTCGCAAATATTGGAAAATGAGCTCGGGGTAAAGCCATTGAAATTCCAAAAAGTGCAAGAACTTACACCGCAACAGAAAGAAAACAGACTCAAAAGAGCTAAAGTGTTGCTTCGCTTGGCCGAAAGTGGTGAACTGCCGAATTTGGTTTTCTCCGATGACAAAACATACTTTGTCCATCAGTTTGTAAACAAACAAAATGCCAAAGGGGTCAGCTGAAAATGTGCACCTTCGGTTGGCCACCAGAACTCAAGCGCCGGTTGCATCAGAATAAACGCCGAATATTATCGCGAAAATATTCTGGAGGGTATATTAAAGCCTTGGGCACGCAAACATTTTGGCCGAAGACCTTGGACATTCCAACAGGACTCAACACCATCGCACTTAGCTCGCGCCACCCAAGAATTGTTACAAAATGAGGTTCCTCGCTTCATTTCCAGCGCACAATGGGCACCAAAATCTTAGGATACCAATCCGTTGGACTATTGTGTCCGGAGTATTTTGGAAAGCAAGATTAGCACTAAAAATTACCAAAGTTTCCATCCCCTCAATCATGCGCTTCGCCGGGAATGGTCCAAAATACCGCAGAGCAACATTCGAGCAGCGCGTGACGGTTCCTTGGCCGTTTGAAGGCCATTATTCGTGGCAAAGGTGACAATTTATGGGCTCATAGATTCCATATTTACATCTGACCTTCGGTCGAGAGAAATGTTAAGGTAAGCCAAGTTTGAATAGAACCTCTGACATGTTTCGCTAGTTGTGAAAGACACAAGTAAAGAATATTGTGGCCTTTTGTGGGGAAGATAACAGAAGAAGATCTTGTGTTAATAAAAATATGTGAAACCTCAAGCAAATCGGATGCTTATGAGAGTTATAAATGCTCAAAAATTTGAGGGGGCACCACAAGAAGTGGTCGATTCTAATTGTTCTACATACCTGGTCTTGTGTTACAAAAAAATATTGAGATAAGCGAAGATCGAACTCTTATTTCATATTTTACAAGAGTTAAAATTATTAAAAATCTTGACATTTTATGGGGGAGGTACATGATGGAGTATGGGGATATATCCGATGTTGTGCTAATGAAAATATTGTAATGCATGAAATTTGAAGAGAATCGATCTCTTATTTCATATTTGATGAGAATCATAAATGTTGGGGGAGGTAACAGAAGGTGAGTTCAATATAGTCCCTCTCTACACCCGATCTTGTGATAGAAGAAATCCTTGAAATAAACTCGGCAGATCGGGCTTAAAAGGAATCAGATGTTCACTTCACTTTTATGAGCTATATGGCTATTCAAAATTTCGGCCCTTTGTGGGGGAGGTACTTGACGAAGTGTTCCGAAATATTCCATCTTTGCATAACAACTTGTGTTAGTAGAAATATTAGGATGTGAAATTTGAAGAGAATCGGATGCTTAATTCGCATTTTAGTACAGTTATAATTATTCAAAATGTTGACCCTTTATGGGGAGGTACATAATTGAGTTGGCCGATATTGTCTATTTTCATACCTGTCATAGCACTGACAAAAATATTGACATTTCCAAAGTTTGTACAAATTCGAATGATCCATTTTCTTTCTATGAGGTAAATTATTTTCTTTGAAAATGATGACCTTTTGTGGGGAAGTTACCAGAAGGAGAGCACCGATATTGCCCATCTCCTAAGTTTGATAATGATATTATGATATACCAAATATGGATCAAATCGGATTCTCCCGTCGGGAGTAATCGGGTGCACCAGCCAGACAGACAGACGGACACCCCAAGATCGACTCCAAATGTCCTGAGTCGGATTTGGTTTAAAAGGGACCGTTAATTCGGTGCGGCACGTTTTGGCCGATAAATACCCTCTATAGCAGGAAAAGGTCAAAAGTCGGACGGGGCCAACTATATAATACCCCATACCTCTATATATATTCAGTACAGCTCTCGTAGCAAAAAAGTTTACAGTATGAATTTATATAAAATAGATCATACCAACTTTGAACCTTATTTGGCTTTAGAACATTTCGATTTTCACCAAATTTGACGAAGGCATTTTTTATCTCTCATACCAAACAACATTGCGAAAGAGTGCATGACATCACTTCGAGAAGGGTTATTTCTGAGCCGTATCTGATACTTTGTACCAAGTGTTATTGTCGTGAAGTGCATATTACGAATGTGAGGGACTCAAGCGATTTTCACCAAATTTGAAGTACTTGCTTCTTGGCTGAATTCAGTCGAAAGTGTCAAAAGTCACTCCATTTGGGCTGATAATAGCTATTTGATGCACAATAAACCTGAAATCGGATAAAAATATGTGTGGGAGCTAAATCCAAATCTAAACCGATCGCCATAAAATTTGGCAGAAATATTTCTGGAGTATATACGATATCCGGTTTCAAATATTATAGTTGTGGAGTGCATATGACGAATGTCAGGGACTTAAACACCAAAATGGGATGAAAAGGTTATAAGCTATAAGCTATATTTGAACTGATTTTCACCAGATTCGAAGTACTTGTTTTTAGGCTGAATTCGGTTCAAATGTTCCGAACTACATAATATTTTAGTGAAAATTAAACATTTAGCGCATAATAAACGAAAAAATATATAGGAGCTACATAGACATTTAGACTGATTATCTCCAATTTCAATAGGGTGAATCCTTGGGCCAAACAAATGAAATCGGACAATAAATGCGACCTGTATTTTGTTCACACAAATAGGTGAACAGGCGTTCGGAAGTAAAGACATACTGATATCCATAAATTGACTAAGAAAAATATTGTATGGTGATCCTCAAAAGTAACTATGGGTCTATCTCCTTATACATGTTACAAACACATAATACCCTGTGCCACAGAGTGGCGTAGGGTATAAATAAATATATATATTTATATGTATCAGGTATTTTTTCATAAAGTTCGGCATATTAGCTTCTATGAGCCTAGCCGAACTTTGAATATTCTCCAGTAAATGGAACGAATTTGGAAATTTTCAAAAAAAAAAAAAAAAAAAAATCCGTTAACAATTCTGTTAAAATCTTAAGAAAGCAGAATATGGGTAGTTACCATTATATTGGGGTTGTACAAAATACTTTGTACATACTTTTGAGTGCGATTGAGGCGCTGGGAAAATGTAGAAATAAAAAATAAATGATCTAAAATTAAATATTTCCCAGCCGCCATAAAATATCACATGTGAAGAATTCGGTGATCTTGTGCGCTGACGCATACGATAATGTGAGAGATAATAAAGGTTATGACCCACACGCACATATATTGATGCGCTCAGTAGATGCACAAGACCACTTGAATGATATTTCAAGCAGCCCTGCAATGTTCTCCATTCAATATTAGAATAGATAAGAACAAGTGTGGCTGAGACTAGGTTAAGTTAGATTAGTTTCAGTAGTACGTAAGGAACAAATATTTTAGATAAAAACAGAATTGAATCAACAGCCTAACCTTTCGGTTGGTTTTCTCTTCTCATTCAGGGGTCTATACGAAAACGTGGATGTTCACGGACAATTTTGTTATAGCCATAATAGTGTTCAAATACGAATAATCAAAATACCGAATATAGGAAGGAACCGATATATGGGAGCCGTAAGGAGGCGTACACCTGCATAGAAAATTTTATGTCACAGGTTATTACGAACTTTTAATACGAAATTGGAAACCATTACGGTTAATAATGTCGCTGAAATCAGCAAAATACTGAATATAGGAAGTTATATGGGGCTATATCTAAACGTGGACCTATATAGCCATTTTGAATACCAAAAGTCTTTCAAGTCCAAACACACATTTGGAAAAATGTTATCAACCTACTTCAATTTATTCGGAAGCTAGAGTTATTTCCACAAGCGGACAGGCAGACTAAAGGACATCGTTAAATCGACATAGAATTTTGTGCTGATCAAGAATATATGTACTTTGTGCGGTCTAAAAAGTATATCGTGGTGTTACAAACGGAATGACAAGCATAATATACCCTCCATACTATATTGGAGGGTATAAAAAAAGTCATTGAAAAATACTACTAAAATCATAAAAATACCGAATATTGGGAGTTGTCCTTATATTGGAGCT